ACATTGCACGACATGTTCAAGGACTAAAGTTGAAACTGTTTTTTTCCGAAATAAATTGCGTACATATCTGAGATGCGTACTTAAACGGGTACGTACTTGAGCGGGAGGATACTGTATGTGAGACAAGAACTTAACTGTATATAGTAATACTCTAAATAGGATTTTTTTAATTTATGTGCATTTCAAGTGGTAGATCAAACTAACAGAGATGTTCACTAGTGAGGATCTCAATTCCGCTCCTTACAGGACCGCACATACTTACGTTGTGTTCGTACGGACCATGTGAAGCAAAAGTTCTCGGTGCAAAATGCACACAAAACCCGTTGCATTTGACATCACTTGTAGTCAATCTCACGATCGAAATGTATAAGTATCTGTTTCCGAAAAAAGACATATTAAGCAAACTTTTGTCTGTCATGAGTTCTGAAGGAATGAGGAAATTTGACCGGAAGCGGTAATAGCTCGATGAAGGCGCCCACCAGCTTTAAGTATGCGCTGGTCAGGCACGTCCAAGAGTGACCTAATTGTAGGAGCAGATAGACCCTACCATTAGACCGCTCATTTTCATCGGTTATTGATACATAGTGATGCTGAAGTTGAGATCTTCTAGGGCCAAAATGGAAAGATCTTTTTCTCTAAATGAGTGAAATTGATATGGCCTTAGAGTGATCTCGTTTTAAGCGGAGCTGAGCGCGTCGAGCTTACGATCTAATGAAGCACAAAAATAGGCACATTTGTGCAATACCTCATTAAGAGAGGTACTCCCAACACGAGACAATTGCCGCGGGTGTTTGCAACGCTGTACCAGGTGTATTGAGTGAGCTCAGAGGCCTTTTCTATTTGTCAAGAAGAACTGGTGGGCTCGTTAAGAGCTTTATTTTGCATCACAAATGGCCTTCCATCAGAGCTGGTAACGATTTTGTTTCTTGATGGAGAGTTCTGAGAGGTAGGGCTCACACTGAGAATCTCTACTTCCAACCAATCGAAGAAATGGTTAGCATCGCATTCAATACGGAATACAGCTTTCTTGCCGCGAGGGCAGCATCGGATGCCGGGCAATATTTCTATCGTACTCATGATCGATAGGACTCAGCCCTCGAAATGAGCGACTCTCTTTGAATGAGATGGAAATTACAGCTAAGGGTTGTCTGTTGTTGATATCCACGACAAATTCGGAAGTATTATGCACGCTTGACTGTCATAAGTTGCAGACAGTAAGCGGGGGCATAGTGAAGATGCGAAAGATGGGTACGATATTCTAGCGTCTTGCGATCGGGACACTGGAAATGCGTTAAAAATTATAATTAATCTTGAAGTGAAGTCCTTTGACTGCGTGGAACGCTGTCTACTCTCGGACTCAGATTCGAATTTTGATCTCATTCTAGGCATTGCGTGGCTAAAAACGCCGCAGGCCATGACGATTTTTTTCGTGTGAAGCATCGTCGAGTCATAAATTCACCTATGCGAGAGAACAGAAGTGCTTTGGGCGTGGGAACGAAGATGGGGTAGACTACTTGCAGAACATGTGACTGTTTGAAATCTACAACGATGATCATGGTTTATGTCTTAAGCTAGGAGCCTGAAGGGCAGAAGTGAGGGTGGTGATCCCTCAGGATAAAGAAGGATATTTATAGAGCGGTCTCCGAAGTGTAGTTCTGTTGTGACAAAAGAGAACAACTTTATGTTCTAGCAAGACTGTAGGCTTCCGTGGCAGCCGCTGGAGATAAAGGGACTGAAAGTCGCGAATGGAAGAGATAGGCTCTAACGAAAAGAAGGGTGACTCATCCTTGTCACGATATGACGGTACTGCTAAGCCAGAACTACCGTGTGACGGGTCCAATGTGTGTTGCAGTGAAATTTTTAAGTGGCGAGACGAAATGCTCACGGGAAATGGAGTAACCAAAATAGCTCAAAGAGTTGCCAGTCTTCACCAATAACTCTGCCGCGTGGCTGCCATAGCTCGTTGCTTAGAGGAAGCTTACTAAGGTCACCGACCTTACACTCTATACTAGAACCAGTACGAGTAGCGGATCGCAATCCGCTATTCTAAGGTAACCAAAACCATAGTCAAGTTACATTTGCTCTTTCGTTCAAAATTAAAACTGAATTTACTTATTTTAGTTGCTGCAGAGCCGCCTATATCTAAAACCTTAGGTTTTCCTGATTAGGTAATAAAGCTAATTTATATGTTCAGTCCCGCCACGCAGGGGCTTCTTGTTACGTTGAAGCCACACCATTGTGTGATTAAACTGACTTGTGTAATCCATACCTTTGTACGGTCACACCATCTTTGCTCGCTCACCCTTTCATACGAGGGTTGTTGTAAGCCCGTTACACTCTCCCCATCAAAATTGTGAATTGACGTCGTCATTGACGAATTTTACCCGCGCCACAAACGCGGGTACTGATATGTGTGTAGCCCTGCTACAGGCTCTCGGGAGAAAGGTGTTTGGGAACTCGGACAAGAAACTGTCGGTGTGTTTGCGCGCACGGTTACACCGATATTCGTTGAATAACGGTAGTTAAGACTGAGTCGACGGGAACCCCACAAATTATGGTTCCTCACGATGAGGTTCAGAATACCATCTATGAGGCCCACGACGCTCCACTCAGTGGTCATCTCGTCGTGAGAAGACGTACAGCTCGATGAGTTGACATTACTGGTGGCCCAAGCTGTACAGACGAGCGCATATGTGCGCACGTGTGAGACTTGTCAAAGGGTAAAACTCTCTTCAAATGCGGCAGCACCGCTGGCCAGTTTTTCGGTGCCCTCCGGGTGTTGGCAGTCCATGAGTATGAACTTTGTGTCTGGCCTGCCGAAGGGTTCGGCGGGCAACACGGGTATGGTTGTCTTTGTAGACCGTTTGAGCAAGATGGGTCATCTTGCGGCAGTGCCGGACACCATCAACGGTGTGGGTATAGCGACGCTGCTTGTCGATCGTGTCTTTCGACAACACGGACTCCCGACGTCAATTGCCTCCGATAGAGACCCAAGATTCACTCAAACGTTTTGGCCTACAATCTTCAGGGTGCTGGGCATATGTCAACAGCGGACTATCCGCAGACCGATGGTCAGACTGAGCGCGTGAGTCGCGTCGTTGAAGACCTTCATCGCAGCGGCTGCGCTGAGACGCCGAAGCGCTGAAGCGCTATGGAGCCACTCGTAGAGTTTGCTTCGAACATTCTCCGGCTACACGCTGTTCTACGTAAACGGGTTTGTTGAAACTCCCATTCCGCTGACGCCGCAATCCCATTGGTCAAGGCTTGGTAGGGGAGGAATAGCTGAGCGGCTAGCTGATGTCAGCCCTTCCCACCGTGTGTAAGGAAGTCGGAGACTTCCTATCTACCAGACTGAGTGTCCATCGACACGTTCGCGATGCGATGGCTGAAAGCCAAGACATGTAGAAGGAATATGCAGACGGAAGAGAAAGAAGAAATGTTGAAAGCATTGAGGTCGAAGACCTGGTTTTATTAAATGCTAAAATCCTTCCTGCATATGCAGTTTCTGCTGTCTTTAAGACGAAGCTCCGTCCACGGTTTTCTGGACCTTTGAAGGTCGTGGCCAAGCGAGGGCTTGCATATCTGCTTAACCTTCCGAGAAGGATACGCACCCACTCAATGTTTTATGTGGGCTTACTTAAGCCGCAGCGGGATCCGGTGCTAGTGAACGCGGAAGCATTGGCACTAGGGCGGCGTCTAAAGGCGCTCGGCCACCCAGACGCTTAACCAACAAGTTATTCTGAGCTCGGAAAGCAACAATTTTCGTTTCCAATGGCGCAAGGCGCTCCGCCGTCACACTAAGTGTCGTATTCGTTTGCTCGATGGCTAGGAGCTACTCCGACAAAACACGATATCTCTAACGTGAGCCAGACGGTGGGCAAAGTGCTCCAGGCTCTCGAGTCTTCCGCACAGCGGTAAGCGAGCTCGAAAAGATGCTAGGCGGAATGCTGATGACGATGGACTTCGTCGTCC